AAGACCGTCCTCATGGGCACCAAGGATGCAGTGTCCACTGGGCTCACTGGGGCAACGAACGTGGCCAAGGGCACCATCCAGACTGGCCTGGACACCACCAAGACCGTCCTGACTGGCACCAAAGATGCAGTGTCCACTGGGCTCACCGGGGCAGGGAGTGTGGCCAAAGGGACAGTGCAGACCGTTCAGAATTGGTTACCTGGTACCCAGGACAGTGGACTCCCCAGTTACAGTGCCCCAGACAAAGGAGGGGAGCAAACTCTCCTGAGACCCCAGGAGGCTCTGTCCTCTGGGGTATCCAGCGCCCCGGACACTCTCTGTACCGGCCTGGACCTTGCCAGGGAAGCCACTGCCGTGGCCACGGGCACCCATGGGGCCACCCTGGGCAGGGAGGATGCAGGACACGAAGGAGCCGTGAGCTTTGCAACGCTCCAGGACGAGCTGGGGGAGCTGGGGGATATCTTCCACCCCATGGATGCCGGGGAGCAAGGTGAGAACAGTATAGCTGGGCCCACCCCCCTGGGAGGGCTTGGCTTCTGTAAAACCCAAGCCCTGGATTTTTCAGGGGCCTCTCAGATTGAGGAATCCCGTCTTCCTTTCCAGCTCGGCTTGCTGCGTCCGAACCTGAGCCAAAGGTGCTCACGGCCGACCGCGGCAGCTATTTCGTGCGTCTGGGTGACCTGGCCCCCGGCTTCCGCCAGCGGGCTTTTGAGCATGCCCTGAGCCACCTGCAACACAGCCAGTTCCAGGCCAGGGCTGCGCTGGCCCAGCTGGAGGACTCCTTCGAGCTGGTAAGAGCCTTGCCCTCCCCACGGCACCTTCCTCAGAATAGCTCCCCAGGCTCCCCCAGGCCTTCGGCACCGCTGAGAGCTGCCACTCACGCTGGGGGGCGGGCTGCACACAGTCCAGCAGCAGCCCACGGAGGGACCCCCAGCTCTGAGGACCTCCCGGTTCCCAAGCTGAGTTTTAGATGTTGAGATACATGAGCCTCACTTACACACGCAGGGAGGAGCCCGGTGGCACGGCCTGAGTCGGGATCCCCGGGGGGTGCCCACGCAACTTTTCAATCAGTGCCCCGCGTTCTCTGGTGAGCCCCAGTTTAAAGAGCACTGGTCCAATCCCGTGGGGTCTCGATGGGGATGATCAGGCCTCTGGGACGCTGGGCCCTGTCTGGGGGCATCTGTAGCTATCACGACTGTGGGAAAAGGTGCACCTGGCATCGAGGGGGGTGGGGCCAGGGATGGTGCTCAGCCCTCCCCCCCCTCCCCCCGCAGCGCCCGGGACGGAGCGCTGGCCTGACCCAACAGAGGTTTTGCTAGGGGGTCACTCTGGCTGCTGAAGGGAGAACAGGCTGGACCTGGGAGATCAGTGAGGTTTCCACAAAAGTCCTGGCAAGTGAAGGACAATGGGGCCTCAGGGCTAGTGTCAGCGGCAGCGAGAGGCACCTGTGTTCAGGATGTGCGTCCAGAGCAGGGCTGCCGGGTCTGTGGACAGGCTAGATGTGGGGCATGAGAGAGAGGGGCCCTAAGGAACCTCGGAGACTTAAAATTTTTTTGAAGTATCTTATTTAAGTAACTTCTATACCCAACATGGGGCTTGAACTTACAACCCTGAGATTGAGAGCCGCAAGCTCCCCCGACTGAACCAGCCAGGCACTCTGCCTGGGAGATTTTTAGCAGGGGACCCCAGGGGAGGTGCCGAGTGGGCTGAGGGTGAACAGTGAGAGCTTGGTTTTGGATGGGGGAAACAGAGCTGACTAGCGGGCCCCAGATGGGAGTTGCCGCGGGGTGCGCTGGGAGGGTGACTGCAAGTTGGGAGTCCACACCTGGCCCACGTGCTGCCCCCCCCACCCCCCAATTGCTGGGACAACGAAGATTGGTGGTGGGGCTAGGGAGGCTCCTATGTGCCGGGGACCCAACAATCAAGGAAGGAAAACTGCCAAAAGAGCCTTTATCTCCACCCAAAGGGGGAGATAAACAGCCAAGAAACAAACATCCGCAATAACTCGACAGTGATGTGCCTCTGAGAATAATGAAATCTGACAGGGAGGACTAGAGGCCACTGCACTGGGTGGCCAGGGAAGGCCTCACCTGGAGGACAACCTCGAGCCGAGATCAGATGGGCACCACGTGTAAGGCCAGAGGAAGCATGCTCCAGGCTGAGCATGCAGCATGTGCAAAGGCCCTGAGGCAGCAGCATGCTGGAAGTGGTCAGAGGACAAAATGAGGCTAGCGTGTCCAGAGCAGAGTGTGACAATGTCAGCAGGAGATGAGGTCTGGGCAGTCCCAGGGAGCAGACAGTGTAGGCCATGGTGAAGAGCTGGATCTTATCCAAAAGGCACTGGGGAGCTATGGGAGGGTTTTGAGCTGGGAAGTATTTGTTATTTGGTCTCTGACAAGCCCAAGAATATGGATTATTGCCCATCCTGACACAGCTGGCTCTTCCACCACGCCACGGAGAGGTCTAGACACGAGGCTCTAGGGCCAGGCCCAGGAATGTCCCCAGGGGGGAGTGTGTGAAAGGACCCTGCTGAGAAGCCGTAATTTCTCTGCTGGGCTCTCTTTCTAGATTGAAAGGGCCAAGCAGGCTCCAGAAAGCCAGCCATGGCTGGACCAGGGTCCGAGCAGCAGAGTGGAGGGAGCCGCTCCCCAAGAGGTATGTAACAAAGGGCCACGGCTCCCGCTCTTCTCCCCCAACTCCTGCTTACCTCACCCCTTCCCTCCCCCGCAGGTGCCAGGCTCCGGGGCTCTGTCCAGGGCCTGCGGCCTCATCCAGCAGCTCCACGTGGCCTACAGCACCCTGGCCTCCGGCCTCCAGGGCCTCCCCTCTGAGCTCCAGCAGCATGTCGGGCAGGCGCGCCACAGCCTCTGTGAGCTCTACGGCCTCGTCTCCTCGGCCAGCTCCGTGGAAGAGCTGCCGGCACAGCGCCTGGCCCAGAGCCGTGGGGCCGTGGGCCAGGCATGGCAGAAGCTGGAGCAGATGCTGGAGAGTGTGCAGCACGGCCCGCCGCCCTGCTGGCTGGTGGGGCCCTTTGCCCTGCACCCCGCTGGGCAGCAGCTGTAGGTCCCTCCTGCCCACGGAGCCCTCCGCGGAGCCTTCTCCCCAGCCCAAACCAGTTCCAAATCCCCGAAGGTCTGGACCCTGCACGCTGGCGCTGCCTAGCACCCGTGGGGGGCACCCAGGACTTTGAGTTCAGCCGCACCGCACACCCAGCTCTGGCCCTGCCTACGCCGTCCACCCTTTCTTCCCAAGCACCGCTGGGCCTTCTCCTGCCCCAGGGGCCCAGGGCTGCTAAGACCGCTGACAGAGGGCCTTCCCCTAAAGGTCTCAAGCAAGCACTCCAATTAGAAAAGAGAAGTGGAAACATGCCTAGGTCTAGAAGGTTCTCCAGTCAGCAGCCTCCACGAGGCACCCTTTCATCTTTGGGGCAGCCCAGTCTAGGTCCTTTAGCTACGGGCACAGCAGGTGCTCCTCCATCCTGGGCTCCTGGAGCACCGTCCTCACTCCAGAAGCATACACCCCAGCCCTCAGCAAACTGTGTTCCATTGTACCAGAAGGTACCAGAATGCCACTGTCACCCAGCGTGGGCTCCCGCTGCCTCTGCTGACACCCAGTGTGGCCTCGGCCCACCCCCAGAGCTGATGATTTGTGGTCCCCAGGGCCCCTGGGCTGAGGAAGGAACGAGAGGTGTTTCCCGTGGGGGATGGGGCCCTAGGGGGTATATGACAAAATGTGCTCAACACGGTCCCACACTCACCCCAGGCTGGAGAACACGGGCTGGGACACACACAGCGTCCCCTCTTTCCCAGCCACACTGTCCCTAAATGCCCAGGGCAGCCACGCGAGATGGGTGGCACGTGAGGAAGCTGAGGCTCCCCCTCACTGGACCTCACCTGTCCTCCAGCTGGGGGGAGCCCTGCCAAGGAAGCCCTCATATCCCACCCACAACCCCCCCAATCAGGCTACCTCCCTCCGTTAAGGAGGGCTTGAGGTGCCCTCATACCAGCCCCCTCTCAGAAACTATGGAGCGCTCCAAGCTCAGGACACGAGGCCAGCCTTCCCCAAAGGGTCGTCATTAGTTCCCAGGAGCCGGCCATGGTGAGACGCGGGGATGGGTCCAGAAGCCTCTGGGGCCCCTTCCTCCTCAGTCTCCACCACAGGTGGAGGCGCTGGGCACACGGCCATTCACGCCAACTGAGCAGTCACTGGAGCTTCAGTCCAGCCAGACCAAATGGGGGGGCGCCAGGCTCAGAAGTCCCACACCGCACCACAGCCCCGGCTAGGATGGAGGCACTTGACGAGGGGCAGGGCGGAGGACACACGGTGGACCCCACTGTTGATGCAGGTGCCTGGCTGGGAACCACATACACGTCTGTCCAAATCCATGTGCTGGCCCTGGGAGCCTGGGGCCACTTTACAGGTGAGGAACGAGAAGCCCAGAATGGGAGTGCCACTTGTCCAAGGTCACAGAGCAAGGCCTGCCCCCAACACTCACATCCTCTGAACATCAAGGACAACGGCCAGCCCACAGCACCCCCCAAAGCCTAAATGGCTTGAATGCCCTAAGCTGCTGCTTCTGGGGACCCTGGGTCTTCCCTGCAGCCCGGCCAAGAGCAGGAATGGGAGCAAGGCCTTGCAAGAATGTCTGGGCTCTAGGATGCTGCACGCGAGAGGATCAGACTGCAGCCTCTGCTTGAGCCTGCGTTACTTCTAAAATGGCCTCCCACCTCCCCTCTCCCTCACCGTCAGCTCTGCAGGCCCAGGCCGGGCAGAGGCAGTGTCAGAACCGAGTTCACATTCGCTGTGAACGGTGACCTTGTGGCTTAAACCCTCTGTCCCTGGAGGGGCCCTAGACAGCTACACCAGCAATCCTAGAAAACCAAGCCAATAAAAATGATTTTCATTAAAAAAACCCTTTATAGTCATTTCATGTCGGTTGGAAATCACAGAAGTTAGGCAGAAAAACAACCCAGGGGACAGATACAAAGGGACAGCACAGCGCTTCCCCAACAGGTCTCTGCTCGGCGGGTGGCGGGTGGGGGCCGGGGCAGGCCTGGGGCGTCTACGCGTGCCGGGTGGGCCTGGCCGCCGGGGCTCAGCTGTCCTCCTCGTCCAGGGACTCCGAGTCCATCCGCACCCTCGCATGCTCCTGCCGCTCCTGCCCGGACACATCCAGCTCGGGGCCCTCCCGCACGCTGCTGGTGGGAGCACAGGCGGCCAGGGGTGAGCACTCGGCTTCCCACCGCCGACAGAGACCCAGCGCCCTGGGAGTGCAGCCCACGTCCGGAGCCCCCTATGCTGCCCCAGCCAGACCCCCGCCAGGTGCGGGCAGGCCCGGGATCCTCAGCACGGCGTCAGCATCAAGCAGCCCACTGCGCCCACTCCCAGAGCGCCAGGAGGAAGCCATCCTCCCAGAGCAGCCCAGAGCCGTGGAGTTCCCTCGATGGGGCACCTGGGGGGTCAGCGGCAAAGGTGGGGGTGGGAGGCCGGCGTGTAGGACAAGTCCCTGCGGCCAACAGCAGAATGAGCAGCCCACGCAGCGGAGGCCTTGTCAGGAGGCGGCCCCCCAGGGCTGCTGCCCGCGGCAATACTCACTCGTTGTGTAACGGCTCTTCGGAGGAGCCACACCCCAGCCCCTCCTCGGAATTCTGTCCTTCCTCCTGCTCCTTGTCTTCCATGCTCTCCCCCTTCTGAGACGTGGCCTCGCCATTCACTGGGGCTGAGAGATCTGGCGGGAGAGAGGCTCATGGGACCCCGTAACCCTGCCCACTGGTTTGGGGCCAGGGGCCCTAAAGGAAGCACCACCTCCCTCGCGGGCCCTGATCCGGGGCGCCCACATCCCCCCACCCCTACATCTCCTAGACGGCTAGGCACACAAAAGCCTAAAGAGGGAGGAGCCAGTAAATGAGCGGCCATGGGCAATGGGGGAAAAGCCTGCTGGGCACAGAAATAAGGCGACGCCCCCTGCAGGCTGTCCCTGGGGCTGCTGAGGCTTCAGCTGAGCCATCCTGCCCGTCTGAAGGAACACTTCTCAGCAGCTCCGTGGGCACCACGTGACCCCAGCAGGAAGGACCGCCCTCCCTTTAGGCAGGGACCAGTGCCACTGTCCCTGGGGGAGACACCCTCTTTCTCCAACCCGAGGCCTGTCCCAGCAATGCTCCCACACATGGCCCGTGTGCACAAACGCACGGCCTCCCACGCTGTCTGCCTCCAAGGCTCTATGAGCAGCTCAGGTACGTGCATGCACCAGGCCCCGGCGACCTTGGGGACACAGCCAGGCATGGAGAGTGCCAGCAGGAACATGCCACTCTAGCCATGGGGGGTGGGGGGTGGGGGGAGTGGAGAGCCGAGTGGTGCCTGCTCACCAGCGCTCGCCTCGACCTCTGCCCTCTCCGTGGCAGCCTCTTCTCCGGCCAGCGCCTCCGCGGCCTTCTCCAGCTCGGCCCTCTCCTTCTCCACCCCAGCTCTGGTCGCCTTCTGGATGGCCTCCATCTTTGGTCCCAGGACCCGAGACTTGAGCCGGGTATAGACCTCCGCGGCCTTCTCCATCACCTCCTTGTTGGCCTTGTAACGGCGGATCTGGCCCGCAAGAGGCCTGGCTCAGGAGATGCAGCTGGTCTCACCCCCCGCCACACGCCCGCCCCCAGCACCACCACCCCCGGCAGCACCTTCCCACGAGCACAGCACAGTGGACCCCGGCACTCCAGCCTGCCAGTGCGCCGTGTCCTCCCGGACCGAGGGCTGCTGCGGCCGGGAACCCAGGCTCCCTGGGAAGACTCCTGCCTCGCCTGCCACCAGCCCCTCCACTGCGGGGTTCCCACCGTACCTTCTTCAACGTGGCCACCACATCTGTGTTCTTCTGGAGGATCTGTGAGGTCACCTGTAGGGTCCCTAGCTCCTCTAGCGCGTTCAGACACCGCTTCACGTCCTGCAGGGTGGGGAGGGAGTGAGGAGGGGCAGCACCTAGCTGAGGGAGCCCTTGGGGCCCCGCGGGACTCCCCGGGTGGCAGGCGGAGTGCCAGGGAAGCCCAGGAACAGTGGGCAGGACGCAGCACTCGGAGGGCTGCTTGGCACCACCTGCTGGGGACCCCAAGCAATGTACCTGAGGAGGTCAACCTGGGCCTCCGGGGAGGACACCCAGGAGAACAAAGACCCTGGATTCGCCTCAGTTTCCTGAGGCTTCTAAGGGAGCTCCAGACACGAGGGACAGGGGGACCGCTTGGCTCGGAGGAAGTGGCTGCAACGTGGCCTCGGTGCCCTGCGAGGGCCTCACCGGATTGTCAACTTTCAGGGCGAACTTGATCTCGCTGTGCAGCTTCTGCAGCTTCTCCTCCACGGAAGGTTCTGGGGCCAGGAGAGAATGCAACACCTGGGCCTGAGCGGGGCTGCAAGGGCCGCTGGGCCTGGCCCCCCACGCCCGACTGACTCCCATGACCCTTCGTCAGAGAGGGCCGGGGATCTGCCCTAGCACCGCTGTTGTGACAGGAGCGAGCTCCTTGTTGGCTCAGCCTCCTCCCTGTCAGCGACCTGGCCCCTCACCTTTCTTCTTCTCCACCTTCCGGTCGGGCGGGAAGCCTTCTGACCGCTTCCGGGTTCGCTCCACCTTCGTAGGCCTGTGGAGTCACGCCCCTTAGTCCCGCCCTGGACTCCCGTCCAGCAGCCCCAACCCAGCCACTGCCGCCCTCTGAGTGTGTAGTGGGGGACCCGCAGCCACTGGGAGGGAGAGCCTCAGGGGGCCCTGGAAGCGGGAGGGGTGGGGGGTCAGGCCCGTCGTGACCTGGTCTAGGCAGTCACCTGAAGTGACCAGGGATGGCAGCCCTCCCTCTGGTTCTTGCTGGTAAACGACATCAAGTCTCAGAATTAGCATCATTACGAACACACGACTGAGGGTTGGTGGTGACTTAACGGAAACCCGAGTGAACGAATTACGGAAAGGTGCCCCGATGTGACGCCTGTCAATGACCGGCCTGTTTCCACAGCTCGGACTCGACATTCTACTTGGCAAAAGCTGCCGAAGTTCCACGGGCAGGTTCCCTCACTGATGGAATCTCACGTGGCCAGTGGGCAGGGAGAGGGGCTGTGTCCCCCGCCTTGGGGGGCCTCGGACTCAGAGTCTCAGAATCACTGGTGTGGGGGACGGTCCCTCCCCTCGGCACTGCTGACATCGGGTGGGTCACTCTCTGGGGGGGCACCCTGGCCCCCCTCGATGCCAGGAGCACCCCCAGCTCGAGGACCACAGACACAGCGTGGTGCCTCTGGGGGCAGAATTGCAGTCCCGGAGCACTGGTTCCCATGTAAGCTGATGGGGCCCCAAGAATGGGACTCTTGGATTGGCTCTATCTCCAAGACTGAACTCGGACATCGGGTCACTCCCGTAAGGGGTGAGGGCTGATGGGTCCCCAGGAGGCTGAGAACCGCAGGGACCGGCACGGGGCGTGTGGGCCCCCAGGTAGGTGTGGGAGCAGAGGGAGGACGGGTGCTGACCTGGCTCGGGGCCTCTCCTCGGGGCGCCCTCTCTTCTCCTTCTGGCTGGCTCTCCTCGCGGGCTCTGTGCCTTGTGACTGTCTCGCTGCCTTCTTTGCCTATGGCGGCCAGAGAGAGGGAGCGCTGGAATGGCGGGCAGTGGGGGCAGGTGGGGCAGTGGGGGCCCTCCTCCTCGGAGATACGCCCTGACACTTCCCGCCACCACCTCTGCACCGTCGGGACCTGGTGCAACGGGCAGGATGCGAGGGAAGGAGGACTCCTGTGTCCAGCCTGTCCCCAGGCAGCAGCCTCTCAGGCCCCAAAGGACCACTCCCTCGATGGGTGGGGCAGCCCCACCGCACACATTTCTCCTGCGGCAGGGGTCTTGGTCCCCGTTTTTTGTTCAAAGGAAGAGAGACAGGGCGAGAACAGTGTCGTCCTGCTTCCCCCATCCTCCCGTCACATAGACCCCATCCAGAAGGTGACAGGCCTGGAAAGTCAGGCTCAGATTCAGGCGGGCTGTGAATGCCAGCAGAGCGGGGAGCGGACAGGCCTGCGGGACTGCACGGCACCTGATGGTCACCGCCAGTCATCAGAGACCTCCTAACTGCTCGCCGCTCACCCAGACTCCCTCCCTCCCTCTGTCCCTCCCGCAGCAGCCACAGGGCACCTGTGAGCACCCGAGTCAGGTCCTACTCCTCTGCCCATAGCCCTCTAGGGCTCCCACTCACTGTGGTAAAAACCCAAGTCCTCCCCTTGATTCCCAAGGCCCTGCACAATCTGCCCCATCCCCTCCTTACCCTCATCTCCTCCCTCTCTCCTCCTCACCCACTCTGTTCCAGCCACAGGAACAGAGGCCTCCTGGCTATTCCTCCAACACGCCAGACCCAGTGCTACCCCAGGACCTTTGCATAAACTGCGCCTTCTGCCTAGAGTGCTACTCCCCCCCGCAGTATCTTCCCAGATCACCTCTCACTTCATTCCAATCCTTACTTAATGGCACCTTCTCAACTAAAGCCTTTAGGGTTCACCCTACCTAAAACAGAACCTCACCCGACAGCTGCTGTCCCCTGACCCTTTCTTGTCCTTAGCAATAAACACTCTGGAATGTATCTCATGTTGTCCCGTCTCCCTCATTTGAATGTCCGCTCCTTCACGGTAGGGTCTCCGTTTCACATTCACGGCTTTACCACAACACCCCAGCCCTCGAGCCCCAGCATAGCACCTGGCACGCAGGTGGTGGAAGTCAGGAACCAACTTGCTGGAAGGGGTGGGCGGGGTGGGCACCAGGGAGAAGCCCCTCAGTCACCATCCTCCCCAGGAGCCCGGGACGCACCCCAGTGGGACGTACCTCTCTCTGCAGCTCAGCCTCGGGCCCCGAGTCAGAGGAGGACTGTGGTCCCCGCCCCCGGCCCTTGCGGCCTCGCTTCCTGACGGGCTCATCCTCATCGCCGAGCTCATCCCCGCTGCTGCCCCCACTGCCCCCGGCCGGGGCCTCCCCGCGCTCGCGCTCGCGCCTCCGCTCCTTCTCCTCCTTCTCCTGCTCGCGGAGCCGCCGCAGCTCGTCCTCCTGCTCCCGGCGCCGCCTGGCCTCCAGCTCGCGCCGCCGCTCCTCGTCCCGGCGCTTCCACTCGCTGATGCGGTCCACTTCGTCGCTGTCGCTGGGGGTGCGGGCCGGTTAGAGGGCTGCAGGGCCGGGCCCAACCCACACCACCCCAGCCCGTCACCGGCCTGTTGCTGTGCACCCACCTGTCACTGCTCGAGCTGGTCGGGGGCCGCTCGGGCTTCGGCTTCCGCCCGCGGGGCTTTGGCGGCAGCTTCTCCACTGCAGGAAAGGAGGGGGTGGCCTGGTCTATGTGGGCACCCGCCCCCGCCGGCAGCCGGAGGTGAGGGGCCACACCGCCGGGACCCTACCTGGCTTCCTGCCCCGAGGAGGTTTCTTTACAGACACGTCCGAGTCGGAAGAGGAAGAGGACGAGGATGAGGAGGAGGACGGCGCTGACGGGGTCACAGCCACTGGCTCGCCCTTGGCCCCATCGGATTCTGCTTTGGAGTCGGAGTCGGAGGCTGAGGGCGCCTTCTGGGAGAGGCCGGGGCATGGAGGTGAGAGGAACACAGGCCAAGAACAGGCCTCAGTGCCCCTTGCAGCCCCCGACACAAACAGCTGCCTCCCTCCAACCAGAAACCGCTCACGTTGGCCGGGAATCACAGGCAGCCCCCGAGGTGCCTGCAGCACCCCGATCGTTGGCTCAGTCGTGGCGTGTGATGCCCCCAGGCCTCATCTCCTCCTTGGCAGAGTTGGCAGGGGGGCAAGGAGGGCCACTGTTTTCTCCAGCGGTTAGAGCTCTTTCTAATACACACTATGGCCTGGGGCACCTCACTCCCTTCCAAGGCCAGCGCTCTAGCACCCCATCGCCCAAACTGGCCTCTGCGCTTCTCTCAGGAGCGGTGGGGGCGTGGCGGGTCCGGCCCCAGGGAAGTGCTCTGCACACACTGAGCTCAGGAACCAGGGGCTGAAGCCATCAGTGGAGGCAGAGGTAGAAAGTGGAAGGTGGAAGGTGGCGGTCCCAAGGGCTCCCTGTGGCCTGTGATCTACCCTCCTCCAAAAAGGACCGACTCGAACCATGGACGGTGCCCGGTGACCACGGAGAGGATCTCTTGGGGTTTCCCACAGACAGGCAGGTAGGAACAAAACAACAACAAAACACCTCTACCTTTTTCTTCCGTCCCGCAAGGGGGCCCCGCCGAGGCGCCCGGACCACAGCTTTCTTCTCGGGGGTGAAGTCCTGGGCAGAGAGAAGGGGGCTGAGCACGGGCCCCCCGGCTGACTACTGTTCGGCTCCCAAGCGTGCGTCCACCTGCCCGCTCACCCACCCACGGAGCCAGCCACCTGCTCACCTGGTCACTGGTCTTCTCTGACTCAGATGAGCTTTCTGAATTCTCGTCCTCTGATGGAGACACACTAGCTTGATCCAGGTCACTGGAGGCCTTTCGAGTTCGTTTTGAGACCGACATCTAGTAGGGGAGCAGCCCAAACAGATCAACTATCGGAAAGCCTGTGTGGGAGCAGAGCTGTCTCCCGCCTGGCCGCTCACATTCTGGAGAAGAGCTGAGGTTCTGGAACATTTGGGAGGCAGCAGGGACCCTTTTGAGGATCTGATTAAAAACCACGGATCTTGAACTGTGAGGACACTGTGCTCAGTGAGAGGAGCCAGACCCGGAAGGACACATCCTGCAGGACCCCACTCCCAGGAGGTCCCCAGAAGAGTCCCATCCACAGAGACAGAGAGGAGAGGGTGGGGGCTGGGGCAGGGGGTGGGGAGTCTGCGCTTCATGGGGACAGTCTCCGTGTGGGGAGATGGAAAGTTCTGGAGACGGAGGGTGGGGGTGGCTACAGGATGGTGTGAGTGTGCTTCATGCCGCGGAGCTGTGCAGTTAAAATGGCAAATTTTATATTATGTGTACTTTAGCACAATAAAAAGAAAATGAAGGAAAAAACCAAACCAAGCATCCTTTCCCTAGAAAAAGACATATGCATGCACTCTGAAACTAGACAGAGGTGGGGGCTGCACAAACGGTGGGAACGGATCACACGCCACTGAGCAGCGCGTTCTGGAATGACTACCTTTTTTTTTAAAGATTTTATTTATTTGACAGCGAGAGAGGGAACACAAGCAGGGGGAGTGGGAGAGGGAGAAGCAGGCTTCCCGCTGAGCAGGGAGCCCGACGTGGGGCTCGATCCCAGGACCCCATCATGACCTGAGCTGAAGGCAGACGCTCAATGACTGAGCCACCCAGGTGCCCCTGGAATGGCTACTTTTTAATGTAAATTTCACCTCAATAAAAAACCAAAAATACACATATACACACATGCACGCATACAGCCTGAATTCAGTTTCAGGGGTTCATGCGTTCCCTGACGTCCACCCAAAGAGGCCAACAGAAGAATTTTTATGAAGGGCGCCTGGGTGGCTCAGTTGGTTAAGCGACTGCCTTCAGCTCAGGTCATGATCCTGGTGTCCCAGGATGGAGTCCCGCATCAGGTTCCCTGCTCAGCGGGGAGTCTGCTTCTCCCTCTGACCCTCTGTCCTCTCATGCTCTCTCTCTCACTCTCTAATAAATAAATTATTTTTTAAAAAAAATTTTTATGAAGAAAGAACCAAGTTTTAGAAACAGATCTCAACCAGGGACGACCTGGGTCTTCCTAGCTGGCAACTGTTGAGGTACACCACATTTTCCCTCTGTTTTGTCACACCTGAGAAATGTGTCAGTTCTCATAATAACAGTCACCTGAGCATCTCCCCTGCTCCAGGCCCTGTCCCCCTAAAATTCCTATGGTGGGGCGCCTGGGTGGCTCAGTTGGTTAAGCGACTGCCTTCGGCTCAGGTCATGATCCTGGAGTCCCAGGATCGAGTCCCACATCGGGCTCCCTGCTCGGCAGGGGGTCTGCTTCTCCCTCTGCCCTCTTCCCTCTCGTGTTCTCTGTCTCTCATTCTCTCTCTCTCAAATAAATAAATAAATAAATAAATAAAAATCTTTAAAAAAAAAAAAATTCCTATGGTGAAGCCCTGACCCTCAGGATCTCAGAAGGGAACAGGGTTTGGAGACAGGGATCTTTAAGGATGTAATTAAATTAAAATGATGTCACTGAAGGGACCCTAATCCAGTATGACCTGTGTCCTCCTAAGAAGAGGAGCTCAGGACACAGACACACACGGAGTGAACACCACGTGAGGATGGGAGGGGGTGTCTGCACACCGAGGAGAGGCCTCAGAAGGAACCAGCCCTGCCGACACCTTGATCTCAGACTTCCAGCCTCTAGGAATGATCTCGAATCACAGACGGTCTGTGGTCTAGGGGCGCCACATGCTCTCCCTTCTCAGCCCTCCAGCACAGGACTCTCACCCGGGGTGCTCAGGGAATCTAGAGTTACGACAGTAACTCTTGAGGCAGTTCCAGGGTAAGCGTTTAGAGCTGGGCGTGGCCAGATTCCCCAGACAAAAAGGCAGGAATCACGGGGACCAAGATGACCCAGGACCTACCCTCCCAATGTCTACACGCCAGGGTGCAAGGGAAGGCGGTGGGGAGGGGCCCCGAGCAGTGAGATCGTGGAAACCCAGAGAGAACAGACCCCGGGGGGCGGGCAGTGCTGAGCTACTAGGGCTTGGGGCTGGGGTCAGGGTCTGTCGTGTCGTCCTCATGAAGGAAGTCTGCCACGGAGCCATTCAGAGAATAGATGAGAAGAGCAGAACATGGATCCACAGAAACACACCAACAAGTTAATGTCAACTGAAGAGAGAACATAGAAAGCCGGCCCGGCCGGAAAACCACAGCTCCTCACGGATCAGGGAAAGGAGAGCTGCAATGTGCTAGTGCCAAGGGGCTACCAGGGAAAAGGTCTCTTAAATTCCCCCTGCGTGGTTAAAAGGTGTTGTAAAAAGAACTTAGATCTGTTTAATGCAAAGCTGGCAAAAAAAAAAAAAAAATCTAAGTACTGACTTACAAATAGGGGTTTACCTCTAAGGGATGGCATGCTGGGGGGGCTATTTTCTACACATTTCTGTTTAACCTCCCCGGCAACTGTAAACAGAAATAGTGGGGAACTTTAGAAAATGATGCCACTACATTATAAAAACTGGAGAAAAACCTAAATGCCCAACAGTCTTAATAATATATTGGTTAGAAATCATCCATGTTATAGACTACTTCTCAACCGCTGAAGACTACTACTTAATATCGGACGTAAAGACAAAGAAATGCTCAGCATTTCACACACATGATCACCAATTCCGGAATTCTGGGCTTCACGCAGCCGCCCTGTGTGTGAGGCACAGGCGGGATCGTGGAGAAACACGTCAGGTTGCGTCCAGTCCTCGGCACGGAGGCCCTCCCACGGAATGTGGGTCTTTTCTACTACAGCCGCTCCACACTTTTTACACCTTTCAACTTACAACGAGCGTGGCTGACCCTTATGAATGGAACCGAAAGCAAATGTTATTTTTATGAATAATAAAAGGAAAGCCTTACTCTGTTGAAAAAGTTGATGATAAATCCTAGTCCTTTCATTTTGCACCCGAATGTTTAAAAGCAGTCAAAAGGCAGACAAGGCACGAAAGAGACTATCTCCAGGAGAACCGAACACTCTCGTCCCCACAGAAATCCGCACACACCCGTGCTCAGCAGTATGTTCCCAGCAGCCAAAGTGGACACAACCCAGATGTCCATCAACTGATAAACGGATACACACAATGCGCCCACCACACATGGGAACGTCACTCAGCCATCAGGCGGTAAACGGACAAACACGTGAAAATGGCCACCAGCAGGAGCCAGGCGCCCACATGCGCTGCCCCGGGGATGGACCCTGAGCCCATGACGCTCAAGGAGGGAACCAGACACAGAAGGCCACATGGGGTGTGAGTCCACGTGGGTGACACATCTAGAACAGGCTCATCCACGAATGGGAAGGGGGCACGTGGGGGCTGGGAGCTGGGGACTGGGGAGGGATGGGGGATGACTGCTGACGGGGACAGGTTTCTTCTGGAGTCATGGAATGTTCTGGAACTAGCCAGTGGTGGTGATTGCACAGCTCCATGAATGTACTAACAACCAGTGAATTGTGTATTTTGGAAGGGTGAGTTTTGTGGTATGTGAATGGTATCTCGATTTTTAAAAAGTGTGTTAAAAAAAACCATGTTAATCATGCAGAAAAATTATCTGCATATTCAGGCTAAGGGCATAATTTCAGCTAGGAGGCTCCTGGGAGGGAAAAGCCAAGAGCAAGCACATGCATTCTAGTTCTGCCAGTATCTGCTCAGTCTGGCTGGTGTCGAGTAAAAGGTCGGGTTAATACAGGAAAGCATTTCACCTTCACACTAGAGAGCCGCGCTAAACACACAGCCTTCCCCGAGGTGATAATCTACACAGTGGAAATGGTAATATCTACTGAGCAATATTATAAAGGTTAATGAGATGACGCATATAAAAGAATAACAAATAAAAATAATAAAATACATCAGAATGAAACCACGTATTAAAAACAAGAAAGGCAGGGCAGGGGGCAGAGGCAGCCGGAGGCGGAGGCCTCCTGAGGGAGGAGGAAGGCCCAGGGCGTGGGTGGGGGGGGGGCTGCCTGCCGCCCCCAGGCCAGGAGCTCCCGCCCCGCCCCTACCTTCAGGGCTGCCGCCTTCCGCTTCAGGCCACTGTTGTCGCTGCTTTTGTCTGAGTCTGAGTCACTCTCCATCCTATCGCTGGCCGCTGTGGCGGTCACGGCTGTGACGGCCATGACCCCCCGGACCTCGTCGTCCTCGCTCTCGCCCGCCGGGTCGGCTTCAGGGGCCTCGCTGTCAGAGGAGCTCACCGGCTGGGGGGCGGGGAGGGGGTGGGCACAGACCATGAGTCACCATCAGGCTGGGGTGGATTTCCAAATCAGGATGGTGACCCAGAGGACAGAACCCATGGCGGGGTCTCAAATGTCAGGGTCTGGCCTCCTCACTTTCCAAACTGGGGACCTGCGGCCCAGAAAGCCCCCGAGAATGGAGGCTGGAGGGCGAGATGACACATGCAGGGGGTGCTAGGATTACAGATCAAACCCTGGGCCAGTTATTTAGCCACTCAGTGCCTCAGTTTCCCAAACTGAGCAATGGGGATGGAACCATTTTGGCCTCACAGGGCTGTGGCCAGGATGAGGCAGAAGTGGGATGTGACATACTGAGGACAGTGCCCAGACCGGCCAGAGGTCCACCAGAGTTGACTTTTCTATTATTAATACTCTCATCGCTATGAACACAGGCCCTCCAGGCTTGACCTGCTAGGCACTGTGATTTCTGTTTCACCCAGCATGCCCGCTCAGGCAACAAGAGCCACAGAAGCAGCAGATGCTTATACAGCACCCATTCCCAGCTCGCCCTGTGCCGGGCGCCGTGCGGGGCAGGCAGTGAGCCCACACACGCGAGCACAGCATGGTGCCTGCCCCCAGGGGGTTTACGGTCTAGTGGGAGAGGCAGACAGGAGACTCTGCGGCAGAATAACGTCACACTGTGGGGACGGGGAGACAGGACAGCACCGGTATGTGGGTGCCGAGGGATCGGGGAGGGGCAGGAGTGTTCTGAAGTGCATTTTGGGGGGGACCTTGGAGGGTGTGACATTTTAGTTGAGAAATTGTCCCAAGCATGCAAAGGGGCAGGGGCTAGACGTGAGCCAGAAGGCATCCCTGCCCTCGGGGAGCCCACATGCTAACGGGGGACAAGGAAATGCACAGCTACAATGCACCACAAGATGGGGCGCCCACGACAGTCCTGGGGTACCCAGCCCAGCCGAGCCTGAGTGTAAAACCTGATCGTGTTATTTCGTGGTACTTCTTTACTGAATAACCGATTTCTCTTTTTTTTTTATGAGAGAGATTGAGACTTTTTAAAGCTACATTCTCTGCAAACAAGGCGAACGGCCACCTACTGATGAACACAACACGGCCCGGCTACAGAATGGAACACTACTCTGCCATAAAAAGGAACGAGGCTCTGACAGGTTACAGTGTGGATGAACCCCCAAAACACGCTCAGTGAAAGAAGCCAGGGGTAAAGGGCCAAATAAGGACTCCATTTATGTGAAATATCTGGAATGTGCAAATTCATAGAAATAGAAGGTTCATCAGTTCTCAGGGGTGGGGCACCTGGCCGGCTCAGTCGGTGGAACGCCCCATTCTTGATCTCAGGGTTGTGAATTCAAGTCCCACGTTGGGTGTGGAGCCTACTTTAAAAAAAAAAAAAAGAGTTTGGGGTGCCTGGGTGGCGCAGTCGTTAAGCGTCTGCCTTCGGCTCAGGTCATGATCCCAGGGTCCTGGGATCAAGCCCCGCATCGGGCTCCCTGCTCAGCGGGAAGCCTGCTTCTCCCTCTCCCACCCCCCCTGCTGTGTTCCCTCTCTCGCTGTGTCTCTCTCTGTCAAATAAATAAATACAATCTTTAAAAAAAAAAAAAAAGAGTAGGTCAGGCCCCGAACCTCAAACGCTAGGAGAGAATAATGTCGCTTTCTCGATGGACGTCGTCACACCTTGCACCAGGGCGCGGGTTCTCTTCACGGTAGCCCTGGTGGGGAGCAGGGAGACATGAGCCCTGTTCTCCATGGCAGGGAGGCACAGCAGCCTGGAGGCTGAGTGACTAGGCCCACGGCTCTCCCGCAGAAGGGTCAGCTGCAGTAAGGGCTGGCACTGGTTCAGAGCAAGCTCCTGCCCCAAGCTCACCATCTCTCTCTGGGTGTACTGGGTATGAATTGTCACCCTCGTTTTGCAGCTGAGGAAAAGGTGACGTGACAGCTCAGGATCACAGCGACTATGTGACAGAGGCGGGATACCAGCCAGGTCTGCCCTGGCCTTTAGGCCCGGGCCACTGGACACAGCTACTGCTGATTAAAACCCCTCCTTGCTTCTGCCAAGCTCCCAACTAACTGGGGCCCAACTCGCGACTCTCACGTGCAGCCAGGTGGCTGGGGCAAACGGGCCTGTCCCACAATTGGGAAAACGGACTCTCTGGGAAGGTAAGTGACTGGCCCTACCTTGTGCCTGTAGGTAAAGCTGGGAACTCTGCATCTCCTGGGGTCAGCCCATGGGATCTAACTGCCTGCTGGCAAAGGTTTGGGGAAATCCGGTCCACACAGAGAAGCATGGGGCAGAGAGAGGAACCAGGAGACACAGGCTAAGAGCCAGCTGACCTCCAACCATCCCGAGCCCGATGGTCTGGTGAGGGAGGTGAGCATTCATGTCTCTCAGTGCCTTAATGGATCAGGGGGGTGACGGAGGTGGAGTGGGAAGGTCACGTCCAGCCTGGCCTCATTTGAAACTAGTACCTCGTCACCTACTCAGCACTTTGCCTGTGGTAGGTGCCTGATGTGCGCTTGCTCATGGGGCTCCCCACAGCAACCCTGGGAGACGCAGACACTACCATGACCCTCTGTCTTAAATGAGGAGACTGAGGCTCAGAGAGGCGATGTGGAGCCCCAAGGCTCATGGTAAGCAAGTGCTAGAGCCGGGACTCGAGCCCAGGTCCCTGTGCTCACACCACAAGGCTCTTAACCCCAGCCCAAGGTGCAGAGATTATTCTCGGGGCCCTCCTCCAGCCTGGGACATGGGAGGCTCAGGCTTTAGCCCTAGCTCATGCTCACCAGCTTGAGAACCGTGGAGAGGTCCCTGTCCCTTTTCTTCTATCGAGGGACAAGCATGTATTTCTAGGATCCTTCTAAGTCAATGGTTCTCAACCAGAAATGACTTTTGTTCTCTTGGCGGCATTTGGCAATTTCTGGGGACACCTGAGGCTGCTGAAACTGGGGCGCTCCTGGCATCTAGTAGGTGGGGGCCAGGGATGCTGTTAAACACCCCACAGTGCCCAGGAGCACCCCTCCCCACCCCGGCCTAGAACGATCCAGCCACAATTGCTGAAAAACCCTGGTCTAGGTCTAAGAGGTCTCAGATTCTAGCTGGGTCCCTCTGGGCCTCAGTTTGCTTATCTGAAAAATGAAAAAGATACTACCTGTCCAGGCTACTCTCAGAATTACTGTGTGGACCAGAGGACAATGAAGTTGGAACCACACTCAGATATCACTTTCCACCTCCCGCCTTGGCAAGGAGATGCAGGAACAGGGCTTGCTGTCCCCTCTTAGTGGAAGAACCAGCTGAGTTAAGGCTGTCGGAAAGAATGAGTCTGTTCTCTGCATGCAAACCAACAGTCAAAATATATTTTGGGGCACCTGGCCGGCTCGGTCAGTGGAGCGTGCGACTCCTGATCTCAGGATCCTGAGATCCATGATGGATGTAGAGATTATTAAAAATAAATAAGTAC